GTTGCAATATGCGTTTTTGCTGCCTGTTGCAGCGCTCCAGCGCTGCACGGCAAAAACGCATAAAAACCGGTAATCATGCACCTGGATGTCCATGCGGTTCTATAATGCATCATCTTCATCCCAACGGACGACTCTCCTCTTGCATGCCGGAAAGGGCGAAAGCACCGCCAACATGAGCCCAATTGTTAGGCTACAGCGTAGGGATGATTCCTGCTAATAGCGATGTGCGAGTTTGGTGCAAAAACGCATGGTCGCACCGGAAAGCCTGGTGCGTTCCAGCCTTGGTTCTGTTATATTCTAAGTCCGCTACAACCACATTCATTTGAATTTCGCCATTTTTCTGATAGCTTTCGCAGACCACAGTGCGTGACTACCTTTTTTTAATGTACTGCAATTTGATATGGTAGTTGGGAACACCCCCGATCGCAATTCAAATATTCCCACGCCATTTCGCATCAATTCTGCCGCCTATGTTTACAGCTCAGGGACGAAAGACAGGTAGGCTACCAAGTCACTGTACATACATGCTTGCCTATTTGGGAGGTGTAAATGGCACTTCCAGTGTTTCCATTAATTATCAAAATTCGACTGTGTTCCTCTCCAGTCTGGTAGGGTAGCAACGCCAAACAAACTGTATATGTTAACGTACAGACGCAATTTCAGGCCCCCGTTCTCCTCCAATCTCTCAGCTAGGGATATTCATTGTTTATATCTCTAAAATTTCTACAACACGTTGCACCGCTCTTTATTTGAATACTTTATCTTGGTATATCACAGAGTATATCAGACATCGTTCCTCTAAGGTATATCACGGATTAACACAGAATGACATGACAGACATGAGAATATAACGACAGATAACAAAATGACACACGCTTTATGGAAGACACTACCATTATCAGTCAAATAATCAGCATGGATTCACTGATGTTATCAAAATTTAGCCAAAAGCTGGGCGCTGCTTCAAGGGATAAACAGAAGACGTTTTCCAAGTAAAAAAAAAAAAAAACCCCAATAGGTTGCTCTTCACGATGATGCTAACCGATCAAAAGTCAGAACTTTGCCGTATCTCATTCGCTATGACAAGCAAAGGCAATCGAGAATACTTACACCTCCAGGGACATCACTTTGCCAATATCGACCACACGCTGGTGATAATTTCCTATTCCGGAGAACTTTGCCAACAGCAACCACACGCTGGTGATAATTTCCTATTCCGGAGAACTCTGCCAACAACAACCACACGCTGGTGACAGTTCCTGTTTCGGAGAGCTCTGCCGACAACAACCACACACGCTGGTGCTAATTTCCTGTTCCGGAAACTGCTTAAAGTTCTAGCCAAAAGTTGTCCCGATTTCCCAGCAGGATGCAGTAGTCCAAAGTAACATAAGTAAACTGGCTAATCAGTGATCCTTTTGAAATGCAAAAAAAAAAAAATCATACAATCGGAAAGGACCAAAAAAAAAAAAACTGTCACCGACATCAACCAGTGAGTACATACAGGTTATTGAGCATATTGGAAAGAGAAGAGAAGAACCTATACAGTGTAAAAATGCACAAGAAAAGGAGTTAACACGTAACAATTAAATAAGTAGAATATCCTAAATACAAGAGCAACCAGTTTTCAGGCGAATTACAAAAAATCCAGGATTTTTAGCTCTCATTCGTCAACCTTAATATTATTATTATTAAACCAAAATACAATCAAAAAGTCTATTTTTGTTAGTACAATAATTTCCTCCGCTACTCTATATCGACGAAGTTGTGAAATTTATGCTAAATAGTAGCCCTTCTATGGCTGGAGATTGTGGCGCATATTTACTTTCTGACTATACGTGGTGCTCCAAATAACATTTTTATCCCAGGATGGCTGACATTGTCATAACGAGTTTTATTCCAAACACATTGGGTACCAAATATACCTATGCCAAAAAGTCCAGAAACTGGAAATAACCGGTTTTAAAAAATCGCGGCATTTCTGCCTTGGTGGTATACAAAAAAGAAAAATCCGAGTAAAATGGTACCATAAATGGTGAAAGACTGGAAATATAACAAAAATGAGAACGTTATGAGACGATAGAAACACCATGCAAAATTCATTTCACAGTGGTTTTACTCCTGATAACAAGAGAATCAGCCAGCCTTTAACCCTTGCCGTACGTCATTATCAAGCGAAAATTAAGATCGAGCAATTTTACACAGCTTTTTCAAAAAAACCCCCCTAAAGGCATCAATTTTAGACAAAATAATTCTTCTATATCCTAAATTTAAAAAAAAAAACTACACATCCGACAAATTCCATGTCCATGCCAATCTCAGATCAGCCATTCTTTTCTCAAATGGTACCGCCTTATCGTAACATGCAGCAAGATAACGATTTGACTTCGTCCAAAACGTACCAAACAGTTGATAAATGAGTTTATCACAAAAAACCTGCAAAAAACCAAATTTACCCTCATTATCATTGTCAAAAGTCGAAGTCCCCTTCCTCTTTCCTCCCTCCCTCTCCCCCTCGCCTCGCATTCACTCTCTGGAACAGCGGAAGCACTCGAAGGTACTCCGAGATGCGTAAGTTAAGCCTGTCAATAGGTCTTCAAATGACTGCTTAGAGGTAAGCTGATGATGGTTTTCCAATAGCCCAATAGCCTTCAAAGATGTAAGAATATTTCACGGCTCGAAAGATTTCGACGTATGTTCGTTAAAAAAACCGTGGTACAGAGGCCTTCAGCTTATTCTTCAGCGATTCGTCGATTATGCTTGATAAAAGCCATTATGCTAAGAAATAATCGTAAAAAAAATTTCCAACAGGATTCGATTTTGAGAGAATTTATCCCGATTTAAGCATAGTTCGGTCTGTGTTTACAACGGCTAAGGGATGAAACAAACAGAGAGACTGCATCGTAAAATGTCTTCTTACACATGACACTTAAATTCAGTTCTTTTATGTTGCTATTACACTAGGAAACAAACATATGACTTACTAACCAGGCTTTTTAATAGTCTGAAAATCCCCCTAACCTCAACGTTGGTATTTATGCGACCAGTGCAAAAACCCGTTTCGTTGATGCATTTGGCGTGACAATCGAAAAAATGGCAATCAGTATCCTCGAAACATCGTCGAGAAGTCAGCAGCGCTTTCAAGCGCGATTTGGTGTACAGCATATCGGCATCCATTATCATGAATCTGTAAACAATTTAAATGAATTTTTCACACCTCAAAAATGGAGATAAAGTGGACGGAGACGCGGACGTAATGAATAAATATGAGGGCGGCTGGTGAGAAAATGTGTTTTGTGCAGTTCTGTCCAACGAACGTTTGCATGCTAAGGGTTTTTACCGCTCTGCACTTTGGTCAGTGCAAAAACAGTTGAAATGTTTTCTGGTTCCCAAGCTGCGGAATTTTCCACTAAGAATTTCATGCAATCGGTATGTGAAAGCTGAACTTGAAACCTCGAAAAGTAAATATCCTTAAAAAATTTCAACCTTCTAATTTTCTGGCTTCCGATTGATTTTTGCGACAAAACATTCACATGGGCATACGTCATACGTAAGACACACTCAGGAACTGAATATGAGCTTTGGGGAGCCCCTGCTTAGGGAAAAAACACTCCCCTCAAATTTTTAGCCTCCTAGCTCTTCTGATTCCTGAAATAATGATTTTTCCCGCCAAAACTTTCAAGTAGGCGTTGAGAATTTGCGGAATCTTAAGTGGGCAGGGGACGCTATGCTAAAATTTCGGCTTCCTAGCTTTCGTGGATTATTTACAATTAATTTTTTCAAGAAGAAGCCAAAAAAAAACGTCAGAGAAGAAAATAATAACCTAGTAGAAAGCGTACCGGCTGCCGGTACAAGGATGCGTTTTTTGCGCAGTTCCCCGCGCAGGTTTTTTTCGCCAGCGGCACGTTCTTCCTGGCAGATGCTTCTAGCTAAAAGAATTGGGACT